GGCTTTAGATAGATTACTTAAAAATGCACTTAGCTTTCTAATTGCAAAGGCAATGTCTGGTCTTATTATAATTATTAGCTACATCTATGTTCTAATTGTTATCTAGTATTCCTCCTTGCTATATCTCTTATTATTTGGGCCTAACTTAACAAGTCCCTTATAATTGTCTATTAGTAAGAGAGTTAGCTTTAAGGATTTTAACTTAATGCCCAGTTTCTGAAGACTTTCCTAAATGTAATAGCTTTAATCTAGTTTTAGGGTTCTAAGCTTCCTGTTTCTTATAATGTTTATTCCTAGGATTCTGGATAGTTCTCTAAGATCCTTAATCTTAAAGATCTTTCTAAATTCCTTCTTAAACTAGTTCACAGAGTTTATTAATAGGGCAGCAATTAGAATATTATTAACATGTGTTATAACTATAAGATTCTTTCTATAATGGAACATTAGACATAGGTTAACCTCTAACTAAACAAATCCCAAATCTTTGAGCTTTGAAACACAAAGCTAATTCTAGTCTCTAGCAGCTTGCTTTAATCTATACAGGCTTCTTAGGATTTTTAGGACTTAGCTAGGGGGAAGATCTACTCCTTTAGGTAGGGCTATAAAAATGTCTTCTTAGAGGTAACTGTTTGTAAAAGCACTGTTAACATCTATAAGATAGAGTTCCTAGTCTTCCTTGCAGACTATAGCTATAAATGTTCTTAAGGTTTTATGTCTAACAGTTAGTGCAAAAGTCTCCTTAAAGTCAATCCTATATTTCTGTAAAAAGCCCCTTGCTACAAGTCTTGCTTTTAACTTGTTAAGGGCACTACTTGCTAATCTTTTTATAGCAAAGACCTATTTTAAGGTTATAAGGTTTGATCCTTTTAGAGCAACAGTTAGTTCCTAGGTCTAGTTGCTTRTAAGTGAATCCAGTTCCTTCTAGATTGCTTCTATCTACATTGCTCCCTATTCTTTATCTCCTACTGCTTCCTTATAGGTAGCTAGAACTAGGATATTCTGCTAGTATGCAGTTTAGGTAGCTGTTGCAGAGAAAGCAAGTTTATAGAAGATGTCTTGCATTTCTAGGTCCTAGCCTAGTTTAGAGATTATAGCTAATAGGGCCTATATAATCTCTATTGCTTCTCCATTAGGATTCTAATCCTTTAGCCTCTCTTAGCTTCTCTCCTAAAGGACTCTTAGTCCTTTGGATTTAGCTTCAAATCCTTCTACATTACTTATAGCTTTTCTCTTTCTTTGCTCTACCTAAGGTAGAGAATTAACTTAGTCCTTAATTTTCTGGAATTCCCCCACATTTGCTGGGGGAGGAGGAATCTGAACAAATGCTGTAGGGGCTGACTTTTC